TGATTATTTTACTGAATATGCATTTCACTGATAGACTGCTTGTCTGGACAATAGTATAGAATGCATATTGTATAGGATATAGAACTCATCTCAGCAAAATTCTCCATATTTCTCAAAGCCCAGACTACTGTGAGAGGCCCAAGTAACCAAAATTGAAGTCTAAATTGTTGCTCAAGTATCATCTACTTTCCTTTCTTCAATAATTATATTTATTATTATTACTTTTGTGATATAGTACAGTGCTCTAATTGGTGATCAGAAGTCAGAAGATGAAGGTGAAAGGCAACTGCCCTGAAGATTACAAATGCAGCTAACTGACAAGACAACTCAATAGTCATGCAAGACAGGCAATCAGTAGGTTTCCATCAGCACATACTGATCATGTATTATGTCATTGTGTTAGGGATTATGGGTATAATGAACACAGAATATTATTCCTTCCTACTCAGTAAAAACAAAGATATTGAGTTATATTAATGTGCATATTATATTTTATTTGTGTTGTCCTGGCTAGTTTTATGTGAACTTGACACAAGCTAGAGTCATCCAAAATGAGGGACCCTTAAATAAGAAAATGCCTCCATAAAAATGGAGGTCATTTTCTTAAGTGATTAATAGCAGAGGGCCCAACCCACCATGGGTGGTGCCTTCCTTGGACTGGTGGTCATGCTTTATAAGAAAGTAGGCAGAAGGTCAGCCTTAAACCATCCAGCACTGCAGCTGCTGCCATTGATTCCTTGGCCCTGAATCCACCAGGAGAATTGAGTGCTGGGCCTTCTCCTGTCTGTCCTACCACCATTGATGGAGGATATTACAGGCCACATAGCCCCTTACTGCCCACTGAATCCCCAGAAACCTGGGTAAAGGCCCAAACCATCCAGGGTGCATCAGCCTCCATCAGAGCCTTGACCCTGCCCACACTGGGAGAGGTAAGCACCTGTCCATCTCCTGCTTTTCCCCCTCCCTTGGAGGCCCATGACCAGGGCACATTGCCCCATTGCACCCAGGGAACCCATACCAAAATCATTCAACTCTGCATCTCCTACCATTTGCACTTGACCCCATCCCCTACTGGGTTTAAGAGACATCTATAGAAAATTCCATCCAAACATGAAAGAATATACTTCTTCTCAGTGCCACATGGAGCTTTCTCTAAAAATCAATAACATACATGGCAACAAAGCAAACCTTAACAGACATAAAAATTTTGGAATAACCCCCTTCCTCTTATACGATCACCATGGTTCAAGTTAGAATTCAATGACAACCTAGATTTCAGAAATGATGGAAATAGAACAATGCTCAATTTCATCACTCCTGGACCATGGAAGACATAGAGAAAGAAATTAAAGAAGTGTTAGAGTTCAGTGAAAATGAAGGCACAACATACCCAAACTTATGGGACACTTTGAAAGCAGCACTAGGAGCAAAGTACATAGAACTAAGTGCTCACATAAAGAAACTGGAGAGTAGTCATGCTGTAGACTTTACAGCACACCTGAGACCTCTAGAACAAAAAGAAGAAAACTCGGGCTGGGCGTTGGTAGCACATATCTTTAATCCCAGAACTTGGGAGGCAGAGGCAGGCAGATCTCTGTGAGTTTGAGGCCAGCCTTGACTACAGAGCCAGGGCCAGGATAGGCTCCAAAGCTACACAAAGAAACTCTGTCTTGAAAAACCAAAAAAGAGAGAAATAATCCAAATGAGGGCTGGAATTAATAAAAGACAAACAAAGAAATCAATACAAAGAATCAATATAACAAAGAGTTGGTTCTTTGAGAAAATCAACAAGATAGACAAACCTTTATCCAAACTAACTAAAAGGCAGAGAAAGAATATGCAACATAATAAAATCTGAAATAAAAAGGAGGACATAACCCCAGACACTGAAGAAATACAGAGAATCAGCAGGTCATATTTTGAAAACAGGTACTCCCCAAAATTGGAAAATTTAAAGGAAATTGACCATTTTCTACACAGGTATCATTTACAAAAATTAAATTAGAACAGATAAGCAATTTGAAAAGACCTATAACCCCTAATGAAATAGAAGTAGTCATCAAAAGTCTCCCAACCAAAAATTAGAACTTAAGTCTTTTAATGTCTCTTTAAATGGATCCCCAGAGTTCGGCCTGGTGCTTGGTTGTGGATCTCTGTACCTGGTTCTATCAGTTGCTGGAAGAAGGCTCTAGCTTCTCTGGAGCTGTGGATTGTATTCTGGTTATCCTTTGCTTTATGTCCAATATTCACTTATACGTGAGTATATATATTGTTTGTCTTTCTAAATCTTGGTTATCTCCCTCAGGATTGTTCTTTCTAGTTACATCATTTTGCCTGTAAATTTCATGATGCCATTGTCTTTTTATAGCTGAGTAATACTCCATTATATAAAATACCACATTTTCTTTATTTATTCCTTGATTGAGGAGCATCTATGTTGTTTCCAGGTTCTGGCTATTACAAATAATGTTGGTACAAATATTGCTGAACAAGTGTCTTTGTGGTGTGATGAGTATACTTTGCATGTATGCCCAAGAGTGATATGGCTAGGTCTTGGGGTAGATTGAATCCCAATTTTCTGAGAAACCACCATACTAATTTCCAGAATTGTTGGACAAGTTTGCACTCTTACCAGAAGTGGAGGAGAGTTCCCCTGACTCCACATCCTCTCCAACATAAGCTTTCCTCGGTATTTTTTATCTTAGCCATTGTGACATGTATAACATGGTATCTCAGAGTTGTTTTGATTTGCATTTCCCTGGTGGCTAAGGATATTGAGCAATTCCTTAAATGTCTTTCAGCCATTTGAGATTCTACTGTTGAGAATTTTATTTAGCTCTCCACCACATTTTAATTGGATTATTTGGTATCTTGTTGTCTAGTTTCTTGAGTTCTTTATGTATTTTGGAGATCATCCCTCTGTCAGATATGGGGGAGGGCTATTTTGTCTTCTTCACCATGTCTTTGCCTTACAGAAGCTTCTCAGTTTAAGGGAGTCCCATTTACTGATTGTTACTCTCAGTGTCTGTGCTACTGGTATTATATTTAGGAAGTGGTCTCCTGTGCCACTCCTGCATTCAGTGCTACTTCCCACTTTCTCTTCTACCAGGTTAAATACAAATGACTTTATGTTGAGGTCCTTGATCCACTTGGACTTGAGATTTGTACAAGGTGATACACATGGATATATTTGCAGTCTTTTACATGTTGACATCCAGTTATGCTAGCACCATTGGTTAAAGATGTTTTCATTTTCCATTGTACATTTTTTACTTCTTTGTCAAAAATCAGGTGTTCATATGTGCATGGGTTAATATGAAGGTATTCCAATCCCTTCCATTGATATACCTCTATGTTTTTATGCCAATACCTACCTGTTTTTATTACTATTGTTCTATAGTAGAGCTTGAAGTCAGTGATGATGCCCCTGGAAGTTCATTTATTGCACAGGCTTGTTTTAGCTATTGTGTGTTTTTTGTCTTTCCATATGAAGTTGGTAATATTCTTTCTAGTTCTGTGAAGAATTGTGTTGGGATTTTGATGGGGAATGTATTGAATCTGTAGATTGCATTGGTAAGATTGCCATTTTTGCTACATTGATCCCACTTATCCAAGATCATGGAAGATCTTTCAGTTTTATGACTTCTTCAGTTTCCTTCTTTAAAGACTTAAAGTTCTAGCTACACACGTCTTTCACTTGTTTTGTTAGAGTTAGCCCCAAATATTATATATTTGTGACTTTTGTAAAGAGAGGTGTTTCTCTGAATTCATTCTTAGCCCATTTATCATTTGTGGGTAGGAAGGCTATAGAGGCTATGAGACCAGCTCCAGCCACTACTACCCAGGGTCCCCAAGGTGAAATGCTTTTGAGTGACAAGGAAGGGGTAAAAGATTACTATTGTAACTTCACACATAATTTGAGGATCATGTTCTTTATTTCATGTGTGCTATTTTGTTCTGTTTTTACTCCAATAATCCTGTCTTACTTCTAACTTCTCTATGTTTCTTCTTCTATTCTAAAGTCTCTTCTCTTTCAGGAGTTTTGAATTGATAAAGAAATTTCTCTCATCTGTCTAAAGTACATTCTTAGAGCAAGGGATAAGTAGACAAGCTGTTGTCTGGTAGGCTAGGTCGCTCTGTAAGTAAGGCTTTTCCCTATTAAATACCCTTATATTCCTACATGACTCCATATTGGTAATTTCCCACTATAACTATGGATTCACAGGGAATTTGCAGTAAGGACAGTGATTATTCATAAATAATCATAAGTAAAATAATAAAAAAATTCATAAGTAGATAAGCTGTTTACCCTGGCAATGCAGAGGTCCAAAACACATAGGAGCAAAACCATAACCAGACAGGGAGGGCACAGTGTCCAGTGACAACTTTAATACACAGATCTATTGTTAGTTAGTAGATTGGCAAGTAAAGAATGGGCATGCTTTAAGGTTAACATGAGATTACCTTGGGAACAGTAATTTCCTATCTGCTGGCAGAGAGAATTCTGGACACTCTTTTTCTCTGTCTCTCTGAGCCCTATGGCTCAACAACTTCATATATGTCATAATTCTTGTCCTTGAGCATCCGTGAATTTCTCAATTGAGGTCTCTTTTCCTGGACACCAACACTGACCAAATATCTGACAAGGAAAATAATTTCAAGCCCATGGTGGGGGGCAGATTTCTAAGTTTATACAAAGACCTAATTGAGAGTCAAAAGGTATAGACTGTGATTACTTTTTGTCAGAATCATGAATTGCTGGAGTAGAGGAGTGAGTCATCCATTATACCAATACATGGAGAAAATGTGAACAGTGATTGATTAATACACTGATGTAGTTTTGGAGATGAATCCCACCATAGTTAGGGATCACTATGTGTAGGGGAAGCTGTAGCCACACCTTCTTAGGGGCTGGCTACAGGTGTGCCTGACCAAGCTTGTGAGGGCTTGGTCAGAGTGACATAGTGTGACTGTGTTTGTGCTTTCGGTTTCACTTTGCTGCTTGCTGTAGAGACTGCTACCACCGGCTGGCTAGGTCACTCTGTAAGTAAGGCTTTTCCCTATTAAATACCCTTATATTCCTACCTGACTCCATATTGGTAATTTCCCACTATAACTATGGATTCACAGGGAATTTACAGTAAGGACAGTGATTATTCATAAAGCAAGCACTCCCATTGCTCTGCTTGTGGGCCTTCTCCATCAAATGATCCCGATGGGTGAGCTTTGTCATTTTGTCAGCTTAACTGTCACTGGAGAGGGCTACTGATTGTTGGAGTATTTTTGTATCCAACCACATTGATGAAGGTGTTTAGTAGCTATAGGAGTTCCAAGGTAGAATTATGTGGGCAACTTAAGTATACTATCATATTATCTGCAATGATAGTTTGACTTCTTCCTTTCTGATTTGTATCCCCTTCATCTCTTTTTGTTGTCTTTTGCTTTAGCTAGAACTTTCAGTATAATATTAAATATATATGGAGATAGTGGATAGCCTTGTCTTCTTGATTTTAGTGGAATCACTTTGAGTTTCTCCCCATTTAATTTTATGTAGGTTGTCAGCTTGTTGTAAGTCGATTTTCCTATGTTAAGATATGGTTGGCAATGCCTCTCCTGCTTATATCATGTGGAAAAATTTGAGGAGCATTGGTATTAGCTCTTCTTTAAAGCTCTGGTAGAATTCTCCACTGAAGTCATCTGGTCCTTGGCTTTTATTTTTCCTTCGGGAGATTTTTAATGACTGCTTCTAGTTACTTAGGGGTTATAGGTCTATTTAAATTGTTTTACTTGTCTTGATTTAATTTTGGTATGTGGTACCTATCTAGAAAATTGTACATTTCTTTTAAATCTATCAATTTTGTTTAATACCAGTTTTGAATTATAACCTAATGATTTTCTGGATTTCTTCTCTTGTTATGTCTCCCTTTTCACTTCTGATTTTGTTAATTTGATATTCTCTCTGCCTTTTGGTTAGTTTGCATATCTTGTTGATTTTCTCAAAGAAACAACTTTTTGTTTAGTTGATTCTTTGCACTGATCTCTTTGTTTTTATTTTATTGATTTCATCCCTCAGTTTGAATATTTCCTGTTGTCTACTCCTCCTGGGTAACTTTGCTTCTTTTTGTTCCTGAACTTCCCAGGTGTGCTATTCAGTCACTAGTGTAGCATTTCTCCACATTTTTTATGTAAGCACTTAACGGGATAAACTTTCTTCTTAGCACTGGTTTCATAGTGTCATATAATGTTCATAGTTTTGGTATGCTGTACATTCATTTTCATTGAATTCTAGACAGTCTTTAATTTCTTTCTTTATTTCTTCCTTGACCCAGGAATGATTCAGTTAGGCATTATTCAGTTTCCATGAGTTTATAGGCTTTAGAATTTGTATTGTTGTTGAATTCTAACTTTAAGCCAATAAGATGCAGGGGATTATTTCATTTTTTTATTTTGTTGAGGTTTGCTTTGTTAACAAGTACATGGCTGATGTTAGAAAAGGTTTCATGAGGTGCTGAGAAGAAGGTATATTCTCTTGTGTTTGGGTAGAATGTTCTATAGATGTCTGTTAAGTCCATTTGAGTCATAATATCTGTTAGATGCCTTATTTCTCTGTTAAGATTCTGTCTGGGAGACCTGACCATTCCTGAGAATGGAGTGTTGAAGTCTGCCACTATTAGTGTGTATAGCTGGATGTGTGATTTAAGCTTTAGTAATGTTCTTATACAAATGTGTTCCTGTATTTGGGTCATAGATGTTCAGAATTAAGACTTCATCTTGATGGATTTTTTGTTGCTACAAATATAAAATGGCCTTCATCATTTCTTTTGATTACTTTTAATTTGAAGTCTAATTTTGTTAGATATTATAATAGCTATTACGTGCTTGTTTCTTAGGTCCATTATATTGGAAAAACTTTTCCCAACACTTTACTAATATGTAATGTTTCTCTTTGAAGTTGAGGTGTTTCTTGTATGCTGCAGAAGGATTCTGGTTTTTTTTTTCATCCAATCTGTTAGCCTGTGTCTTTTTATAGACAAATTGAGTCCATTGATATTAAGGGATATTAATGACAAGTGATTGCCAGTTCCTGTTATTTTTGTTTATTGTTGCTGATGGTGGTATTGCATGTGTGTCTGTTTCTATTCATAGGGATTTGCTTATGTGGGATTATCTGTTGCCTGTATTTTTTGTGGGTGTAGCTAATTCTTTGGGTAGGAGTTTTTGCTTTTATTAATTTGTGCAGGGCTGAATTTGTGGACAGGTATTGTTTTAATCTGGTTTCCCCTTGGAATCTCTCTGTCCATGGTGATTGAAAGCTTTGCTGGGTAAAGTAGTCTGGGGTAGCATTTGTGGTCTCTTACTGTCTGCAAAAAACCTGTGCAGGGCCTTCTGGCTTTCATTGTTTCCATTGAGAAGTCAAGTGTAATTCTTATAGGTCTTCTTTTATATGTTACTTGGCATTTTTCCTTTGAAGCTCTTAATAGTATTTCTTTATTCTGTATGTTTAATGTTTTGATTATTATGTGGTGAGGGGAATTTTTTTGTCTAGTCTATTTGGTGTTCTGTAAGCTTCTTGTACTTTCATGGGCATGTACTTCCTTAGGTTGGTAAAGTATTTTTCTATGATTCTGTTGAATTTATTTTCTGTGTCTTTTCCTTATTCTAGCCCTATTGTTCTTAGGTGCAGTCTTTCTTTTTATACTAACTTTCCTAGATATACTAACTTTCCTAGAAGGTTAAAAAACTTGTTGGATTTAACATTTTCTTTGACCAGTGACTTTATTTCCTCTGTCATGTCTTCAATGCCTGAGATTCTGTCTTTCATCTCTTGTGCTTTGTTGTTCATTCTTGCATTTGTAGTTCCTGATTGTTAACACAGAATTTCCATTTCTAGAATTCTCTTAGTTTATGTTTGCTCTATTGTCTCTGTTTCAATTTTTAACTCTTTCCTTCACCTGTTTGATTGCTTTTTCTTGGGTTTCTTTGAGAGATTTGTTACTTTCTTCCAATTTTTGTCTTTTCCTCCATTTGGGATGCACATGCTCTTTCCTAGAAGGCCTTCTTAATATAGTTTCTGGAAGCCACTATTTTTGATGCTTCCAGGCTGTTACAGGTGCAGATGTGCCCCTTCTCTGGGTAGGGTCTGGAGCCACCATTGTGCTTCCTCTTTATCTGACATTTAGGGCCTGGGGCTGCTGCCATACTCCCTATCTCCAACAATTCTTATTTTACTGTTTCTAAGCAGGAATCTGTTGGCTGTTAATGTGCATCTCTTCATCTGACATCAATCATGACTTTTAGTTTTCTGTTATTCATCAGTCTTTTGTTATCATTTGAACAACTTGGTGCTTTTCATTCTGTTGTGAAGAAGCTAGTTGTCTCCTATATGGAAATGATCTCAAAGGTACTGTATTCTGATAATTTTATAGGACAAAATTGGAGATCATTTGTGAATTGTTTTCCTCCTTGGGTGTTTCATTTCATTTTTTATTTAGATAAATAATTCTTTGACACTGACTCACAATTTTCTGGCTACTGTAATAAAATGAAAAATGTAGAATTATCCAAATGCATGTAGTTTCTTCTAAAGACAGGGAATATTCTCCAGAATTGGTACTCCACCCATAAGGAGATAGATGTGGTACTCCTGGTATCTCTAGTTCTGGGCCTCATGCTGAAGAAGCATTAGTCTATCAGTCATTCTTTTCGTCCTCACTTAGTTATTTGACAGTTCTCTATGGTAGTTATTGTGCTGTATTGCTTGGTGATAGTGAAAATAACAGAGAAAGACATTTTGCTCAGAAATATGAGACTTACATTAATGGGATAAATTAACATGTAATTAACAATGTATTTCCTGAGCACCACTAACTCATCTTGAGAAAGCTCTTTGGGTTCCTTCATATGAAGAATACCTTCCAAGATCAAACATCTGTTAAGTAATTCTTCAGTGATTAATATAAGTGTTTTCAGTGGAGAAGACCAGGGAAGAATTGCACATAAACAGAGTAGCATATTCAAAGGGAGATGAGATTAGTTGGGACCTGGTCTGCTTGAGATCTCTGAAGTGTTGGAGTGTCTGGAGCTCAGGTGGTGGCAGAGATAGTGATAGGAGAAAAGATAGGGCATGTAAGTACTCTTCAGGATAGTGCATGCCATAGGAAAGCATTTAAGTTCACTCAAAGGAGTTTGTTATTGAAGGACTTCAGACCCATAACTGATGATATTCTTCTAGAATAAGTCAAAGAACAAATGTGAAAGTTGCCAATATGTCAGTCTTAGTAAAGTAGAGACAATGACATTAAGGAAGGTACAAACAGGAATAAGAGATATGTCATTGGTTGAATTGATGGGAATGAGTGACTGACTAGGTGTTGCGAATGAGGAGGGAATATTGGGCTCAAAGGAAGCAGATACGGTCTGGGTGTTTGAAAGGTGGATGTATCCTACACAAAGGAGATCCTGTTTGTGTGCCAATGTGTGTGATAAAGAAATGGCCATTGTGAAACACACTATCAAATAGAACCAAGTATCTACACATTGTCTTATAGCCAAATTTCTCAACTCTTTTCTGCCCCCAAACTGACATAGTTTATTCTTTTAAATGATAATTCACTCTTTCTCACTTTTTCCAGCTTCAGAAAGCATCATTTTCTTCTATGTCTCTGGGGATGACATTATAAGCCACATGTTAGTAAAAATGTACCCCCTCCATGTGTTTAACTGGCTTATTCACTTTAGTATAGTGTCTGTCACATTTACCCACACTACAGAATATGTCAGGGTTTAATTGCTTTAGAGGGCTAAATAATATTCTGTTGAAGGCAGACACCACTTTGTTCCACTCAGTTCTCCAGAGATGGATATTTGGATTACTTCCAACTCCTGGCCATTGGATAATAAATATATCAGGAAACCAGGCTTCCACAGTAAGGTAAGTAAGGTGTGAGTGGCAGAACCTTCACCTCATGGGACATTTATTAATTAAGTCTGTTAATAGGGATTTAATATAATGAATTTGAATTTCTAATGTATTTTACTCATGTTTATTGTGTACAGATGAGAAATAGAGGCTTAGCAGCAGATGAAGAAAAGAAGCTGTATGAGGTCACCTTGGACAATCTGTTGACTAATGTGGGTTGGCACAGGAAAAGGACTGAACCAGTCTGCTTAGGGCAAGCATCCACCAACTTTGCTGCTCCTGTTCTGAGGCACTTCCAGCTTCAATGCAGTAATTTCATTTTTCATACTGCTTCTGATGTAAACCAGCTTCTGGATCACATTGCAAAGTATTTTGATGGCTGAGGAAAGGTTATCTCATGTGAAATTTAGGTTTTTCATTTTTGTGATTCAAGCACATTAGTGGTTACAAAACCTGAAATAGACATTTTCACTGGGAAATCTGAATAAATGGTAGCTGCTTTCTGGCAGATGGAGGAATATAGTTCATATCTAAATATGAGCTTTGTTTATTTTTATCAGATTACCAACTCCACAAATTGGATTAATGTATAAATTTAAATGTGGCAGGCATAAAGCTTCATAGAAGGGATTTTATTTCTAACCTTCCAATATTACTGGGTAACTTAAAATTTTTAAGTAGGGTTCAATCTTATTGAGTTATTTAAAAAGTAATACAGCAGGATGGTATTCTTTACTCTGACTCCAGTAGTGGTGGTATATACAATGATGGTATTTCTATGATAGGCTACTTGAAAGGATGTTGTCTGCTAATTGAATATACTGGCATTCTGTAGGTAAAAGGTAGAAAAATTAAAACTGCTGCTGAGGCTCTGTGAAAAATTGTCAGTTGCTACTGAGAAAGCTGTGCATTCGGCATCCAAAAGCCCAGGGGGTCTTAGACATAGTCAGAGGCAACACTGAACTCTTTAACTAAGGTCAGCTTGGCACTTAAGGTCAATGATTCCTGGGGTCTCTGTCATCAATTGCCTTTTGGAGTAGTGAATAAAAAGTGGACTTCACTGTCTGTGTAATGTCTTCCTCTAGTTTCCTGTTTGATATTCAGATATGAAAGTGACAGCATGTGGCTCTTCTGGGTGATGATCCCTCATTTGTGAGGTGTGAGCGTATAATGGCCATTACCCACTTATACATTCATGCTTCTTAGGAAAGAGAACCATGAGGGAACCAGAAGACACCATGGCATAATGGATTCAACAGCACATTAAACACATGTCTGAATGGGGCAGAGTGTCTTGCTGTGAAATGCAGTTCATGCTTTTGCTTTAGGCTTCTTTTAAAAAAGATCCAAGAACAGAAGAGCTGTAACAGTTCAGACTCAGACTTGTGTTTCAGAGTCCATAGGTGATTTTACCCATCTATTGATATCACATTCCCTGGGGATGCTATGTTGGAACACCCCAATGGGCTCTCTTTGTGAAGGGTCTAGTAGGTATATCAGGGAATTCCCTCTTTCATAGGTCATTCCTTATGTGTAGTTTGATTTTCAGAATTTATAGTCATTCTTCTTAGTCCCAGTTCAGATTGACCTTGGAAGGGATTTTATTAAATTTAATTATTCAACTTTGTCTAGATAACTAACAATTTTTTTGAGAACACCATAATCCTTGATGATAAAAAACCTCTCAAAATTGCTAATATCTCAGTAATTCTAATATCTGCTTATACAGTTCTTCAGTTGTGGATCTAGGTGTGCTTGGCAACTGTGAACTGCCCCTTTCTTGTGGGAGTTTAGTCCCACAAGTCCAGCCTGCATGGTTCAGATTTTTAGAGGCCACCAGAGGCTACAGGGACACTATGGTTGTATAGATGACCAACTATCAGAATGTCCAGTTTATTCAGAAGGAGGCCACAAAACTATGTTAGCAAAATGGTAAATTCATTAAGTATAATTCAATTCCAATTTCAATTATGATCTAAATCATGAAAGTAATATGTGTATCCTAATTTTGATGCTTTTCTATAGATATATGAAGTAACATTTCATATATTTAAAATCAATGAATGAAGACTATAAAAATATTCTTAAAGGACTAAAATCATCTTCAGCTAAATCCTATCCAGGGAGTTTACCTTCTTACTGTAGCTAAATTCTGTTGCCTGTTTTGTGTAAAATCTTTAGTTACAGACAGTTGGATTCAAACATATTGAAGAGCTGTTAAAAATGTACCTATGTCAGAGTGTGACATAGACTTTATGGATAGCACTTTGAATTTTCTCTACTGCTTGGATTTTAATATATTTTGATGATTATAGAAGAGATAATGAGTTTGGTTGATGGTTAGCACAGTTGGTAAAGTGTTAACAGTGGAAGTGTGAAGACTTCAGTTTAGTCCCCAACACTACATAAAAGCTGGGCATGTGATGGTAGTAATACTTGTAAGCCAGGTACTGGGAGGCTCAGGCAGGAAGAAACCTTAGGTGTGCTAGAAGCTCATCTAGTCAAACCAGGGAGCTCCAGGTTCAGTGGGAGAACCTGTGTCAAAAAGTGGGATGTACACTCACATCAGCATGTACACATATACAGAGAGAATATTGTGTACTTTACTTTGATGTTGTTAAGTGTAAAATAATTAAGAGCTTAATTTTCTAGTTATAATTACTAATTTTAATCCTAGAAAAACATCATCAATGTACTTTATCAATTAGGTATATTTTCAGCCTACTAGCTTAATAATTGTCTCCAGAAACAATAAATATGATTCTGCCTCAATTTTTACAACAAAGTAAATGTTAATAGGATACATTTTAGTTCTGCAGTGTACATTAATTATGATTGCTAAGTTCAATATTTAATTGAATTTGTAACCATTTATTTCATTTAATTTTAATATGATATAGTCTTGTTAATTGACAAAACATTTATTATTTATTATTGTTGAAACAGTAAGTGAAGATAACATTGTCAATTTTATTTTTAATTATTCTATTTTATTTGATGACTTAAATATATTTTTAGTAATTAGTAATTAATGTTTATGATCAAACTAGAAAATGTGTGGAATAATAATTTAATGTTGCTTTAATAATCATGTAATGTGGAATGCCCCAGAGACCTGGGGGAAGACCAAACCATCCAGTGTCATGGACCCAACCATACCAACTGAGTGAGGCAAGAGCAGGGCTTTTTCCTGCCCCAGTTTCCCCCCTCATTGGAGGCCAATGACCTGAGCTGTTTCCCCCAGAGATCTGGGGGCAGAGCAAATCATCCAGCATCTGTTGCCATTGGAGTCTTATACCAGCACCCACTGGGAGAGGGAGCACCTCCATCTCCACCCACTGGAAGAAAGGATGGTAAGATGACAATATAAGAACACAATTATCAACATAAAGACTAATATGATGCCACCAGAGTCTAGGGGTTCTACACCAGCAAGACCTGAAGATGGCAATGCAGATGAAGCAGAAGATAGTGACCTTAAAAACAACTTTATGGAGAAAATAGAGCCCTCAAAGAGGAAATGAGAAATTTCCTTAAAGAAATGGAAGAAAAAACAAACAGTGGAAGAAATGGAGGAAAAGACAAACCAAAAATTGTAAGAAATAAACAAATATCTTAATAAAAGCAAAGAAAGCCATGAAAAAAAACAATAAAAAGGTGAAGGAAACAATTCAAACAGTTCAAGACTTGAAAAATGAAATAGAGACAAAAAGGAAAACACAAACTGAGGGAATACTGGAAATAGAAAGTCTGTGTAAATGATCAGAAACTATAGATGCAAGCATAACCAACAGAATACAAGAAATAGAAGAATGAATCTCAGATGTTAGAGATACTCTAGAGGAAATAGATTCATTGACCAAAGAAAATGTTAAATGCAACAAATCAATAACACAAATTATCCAGGAAATCTGGGACACCATGAAAAGTCCAAACCTAAGAATAATAGGTATACAAGAAGGCAAAGAAGCCCAGCTCAAAGGCACAGAAAACATATTCAAAAAATCATAGAAGAAAACTTTCCCAACCTAATAGTGGACATGCCTATGAAAGTCCAAGAAACTTACAGAACACCAAATAGACTGGTCCAAAAAATGTTCCATTGCCACTTAATAATGAAAACCCCAAACATACAGAATTAAGAAAGAATATTATGAGCTGCAAAGGAAAAAGACCAAGTAACATATAAAGCAAACCTATCAGAATTATACCTGCTTCTCAAAGAAAACCCTGAAAGCCAGAACATCCTGGGTATTTGCTCAACAGATACTCCTGGATGCCACTCCAGAATACTAGACCAAGCAAAGCTTTCAATCTCTATAGATGTAGAAAACAGAACATTCCAAGACAAAAATCAGATGCAAACAATACATATCCACAAATCCAGCCCTATAGAAAATACTAGAAGGAAAACTCCAGCCCAAGAAATTTGACTACAATCATGAAAACATAGGCAAAAAGATGAATAAATAAATAAAAAGGGAACTCCACACACAATGCTCTCACCAACAACCAATCCAAAACTAACAATTATCTACAATCAAAGGTCAGTAATATCCTTCAATATCAAGGCCTTAACTCCCATCTAAAAGAAACAGGCTAACAGAATGTGTATGCAGACATAATATATCCTTCTACTGCATACAAGAAATACACCTCAACTTCAAAGACAGATGTGACCTCAGAGTAAAGGCTTGGGAAAACATTTTCCAAAGAAATGGACATAAGAAACAAGCTGGTGTACCTATCCTAATATCTAGCAAATTATACTTCAACCTAAAATTAATCAAAAGAGGTAAAAAATGGTCATTTCATATTCAGGAAAAAAAATCCATCAAGTTGAAGCCTCAATTCTGAACATCTATGTCACAAATACAAAGGGACCCATATCCATATGAGACCCATTACTAAAACTCAAATCACACATAAAATCCCACACACTTACAGTGGGAGATTTCAACATCCCACTTTTACCACTGGACAGGACTACCAGATAGAACTTAACCAAGAAATAAAGGAGATAACAGAAGTTATGATTCAATGGGTTTAACAGTCATCTATAGAAAATTCCATCCAAACATAAAAGAATATACCTTCTTCTCAGTACCACAAGGAACCTTCTCTAAAATTGACCACATACTGAGCAAAAAAAGCAATCCTCAACAGATACAAAAAAATTGGAATAACTCCCTTTATCTTATTGGATCACGATGGTTTAAAATTAGAATTCAACAGCAACAGAAATTGCAAAAAGTTACAAACTCATGGAACTTGAGTAATGCTCAATTGTATCACTCCCTGGACAAGAAGGAAATAAGTGAAAAATTCAAAGACTTCCTAGAATTCACTGAAAATGAAGGCAAACATACCCAAACTTATGGGACACTTTGAAAGCAGTGGTAAGAAAAAAGTTCATAGAATCAAGTAATGACATAAAGAAACTGGAGAGTAGTCACACTAGAGATTTAACACCATACCTGAAAGCTCTAGAACAAAAAGAAGCAAACTTACTCAGGAGGAAAAGAAACCAGTAACTAATCAAATTGGGGGCTGGAATCAATAAAATACAAACACAGAAATCAATACAAAGAATCAATGAAATAAAGAGTTTGTTTTTTGAGAAAATCAACAAGATAGACAAACCTTTATCCAAACTAACCAAAAGGCAGAGAGAGAATATACAACATAACAAAATCTGAAATAAAAAGGGGGACATAACAACAGATACTGAAGAAATATAGAGAATCAGCAGGTCATTCATTGAAAACAGCTCTTCAGAAAATTGGAAAATTCAAAGGAAATGGACAATATTCTACATAGGTATCATTTGCCAAAATTAAATGAAGAACAGATAAACAATTTAAATAGATGTATAACCACTAATGAAATAGAAGCAGTCATCAAAATTCTCCCAACCAAAAAAAGCCCAGTGCCCCAATGGCTTCAGTGCAGAATTCTACCAGAAATTCAAAGAAGAGCTAATACCAATACTCCGTAAATTCTTCCACACAATAGAAGCAGAAGGGTCATTGCCAACCTCTTTTGACAAGGTTGCAATTACCTTC